CAGAGGGCAAACCCCATCCTGGGGTGCATCGTGCACAGCATCACCAGCCGCTCACAAGAGGTGATTATCCCGCTGTATTCAGCCTTGGTGCGGCCTCACCTGGAGCACTGTGTGCAGTTCTGGGCCCCACCATTGAAGAAAGCTGTGAAGGTCTTTGAACGCCTCCAGAGGAGGGGGGCAACAAAGCTGGAAGGCATGTCCTGTGAGGAGCGGCTGAGGACGTTAGGCTTGTCTAGTTTGGAGAAAAGGAGGCTGAGGGGTGACCTCATTGTGCTCTGCAGCTTCCTGAGGAGGGGACATGGGGGAGGTGCTGGTCTCTTCTCCCTGGGATCCAGTGACAGGATGTGTGAGAATGGTTCAAAGCTGCACCAGGGGAGGTTTAGGCTGGACATTAGGAAGCATTTCTTTGCTGAGAGGGTGGTCAAATACTGGAACAGGCTTCCTAGAGAGGTGGTTGATGCCCCAAGCCTGTTGGTGTTTAAGAGGCCTTTGGACAATGCCCTTAACAACAGGCTTTAGCTTTTGGTCAGCCCTGAAGTGGACTAGGCAGTCATTGTAGGTCCCTTCCAACTGAAACAGTCTAGTCTTCTCTTGTCTTCTCTTGTCTTCTCTTGTCTTCTCTTGTCTTCTCTTGTCTTTTCTTTTCTTCTTTTTTCTCTTCTCTTCTCTTCTCTTCTCTTCTCTTCTCTTCTCTTCTCTTCTCTTCTCTTCTCTTCTCTTCTCTTCTCTTCTCTTCTCTTCTCTCCTCTTCTCTTCTCTTCTCTCCTCTTCTCTTCTCTTCTCTTCTCTGTTGGCTCTAAGGCTGTAAAGTACAATGAGGGGCAAATGCAAGTTTAGGAGATGTGATAAACTCTCAGAATTCATCAGGAGAAGAGAACAGTCCTGTTCAGGGACCAGAGACTTGTTAGAGACAACTGAAAATCCTTGTGCATTTATTCTGTGTAAAACCACCTGGCCAACGAGCTAACCCCCTCTGCCTTGCAAAAGGCCCCAAGCCAACAAGAGTGTTTTTCAGCTGAAAAGTGAATATGAGTTCTTTCCTTACTGTGGTATTACTGTGTCTAGTTTCCCAGTGTAAACAAAATGCTGATACATATCTGAAAATGCTGTATCTGTCACTTTTCTTGTCACTATACATGAACTGGATTCAACATTCTATGGACTCTCCACCTTGCTTATACCTTCACTTGTTTTATTTATCTCTAATTTTATTTCAGCTTCTTTTCAAAACTCAAAGCTCTCTTTTTCCTTTTGCTACTCACATTCCGATTCTTCTATCTCCATCCTTCTGTGAGTTGCAAATAGTCTTCAGGTACTTATTTGGAATTAGATTCTTTTTGCTTTTTATTCTAGTACTAATTTTCATGCTGATACATATTCCTGTGGCTGATACCAGAAAAATATCAGATAGGACCACTAAATGTCCAATATAACTTAAAAAATAAATCTTTCCCCAAAGCCATATCCTTTTCCATTCTCTGTTGTCACTTTTCAAATCTCCATCTGAAACTGGTGTTTACTGATTATTTTGAAGGCTGACTCAGATAAAACGTTCAAGAGCTAAAGACCTTTTTTCCTTACTGATTGGTTAAACACCAAGCAGGTGCACAGTATAAATAATATAACGTATGATTCAGAGAGGTAACACCATAAAATATTTGGGATTCTGGAAAACCAAATCATGTAGCCAATGACAATTTTGCGACTTCCAGAACTTTGTGGCCATGTAGAAATGACAGGGATTGGTTCAGAAATCAGTCATGTAGTCACTGGCAAGTGAATATATGAGATCAGTCTATCCACTCTTTATTTTGTACCACACCAATAAAATGGTACAAGGTATTCTGAGCTACGGAGAACTCCCTCTTAGCTGTTAGGGAAGCATTCACATTCAGCCAAATAGATGCTGGGTTCCAGTTATTATCTGTATTCTTGTGTGTCCAAGCCACCTCTAAAACAATCCAGACATGTTTCGAGATTCTGTTTTTTGCAAGTAAATCATCTGCTAGTGTCCTGGTTTCAGATGGGATAGAGTTGATTTTCTTCCTGGTAGCTGGTGTAGTGCTGTGTTTTGGATTTGGTGTGAGAAGAATGTTCATAGCACACTGATGCTTTGGTTGTTGCTAAGCAGTGCTGGGACCAGTCAAGGACGTTTCAGCTTCCCAAGCTCTGCCAGGTGCACAAGGAGCTGGGAGGGGGCACAGCCAGGACAGCTGACCCCAACTGGCCAAAGGGCTATTCCATACCTTATGACGTCATGCTCAGCATATAAGCTGGGGGGAAGGAGAAGGAAGGGGGGATGTTTGGAATGATGCCATTTGTCTTCCCAAGTAACCATTATGTGTTATGAAGCCGTGCTTTCCCGGAGATGGCTGAACACCTGCCTGCCCATGGGAAGCACTGAATGAATTCCCTGGTTTGCTTTGCTTGCACACACGTGGCTTTTGCTTTACCTATTAAACTGCCTTTATCTCAACACATGAGCTTTCTCGCTTTTACTCTTCCAATTCTCACCCCCATCCCACCGTGGGGGAGTGAGCAAGTGGCTGGGTGGGGCTGAGTTGTCGGCCAGGATTAAACCATGACAGATAGAAAAAGCAGGTGAGTAGAAGGAGAGGCAGGGGCTATTGGGATAGACAGAGAAGGAGTGGTCAGGAGAAGGATTATCAGGAGACAAGAAGCTCCAGGATAATATCTTCCCACACGCATTGCTGATGAACTGCAGCAGCAGACTCCCTTAAGTTCTATAATTCAGGAGATATCCTTCTTGGAAAAATAAATGTAGGAGATGAACTCTTCTGATTCTCTCCAGGAGAACTAATTCTGACCTCAGACTCTTGGTTCTCCTGGCACACATTTCCTGATTGCAAAAAGCTTTTTTTTTTATCCAGCCCTATCAAAGACTGATAGAAAAACCTGCTCCGGGTTATCCTTAGATATGCATGAACCTTATACTTGCCCTAACTATCAAAGCACGAAAAAGTAGAATGAGGCAGATGGGAACATTATGACCACAGACAGAACCTAGCTAGATCCCTTAATAGACCTAGAACCTCCCGAATTTCTGGGAAATTCTGCCATGTGTTGTACATCTAATTTCAATCGCATGTACCAAATGTAATAAGCTAGTACAAGCTGCGGGTTGCTTTTGTATGGGGAGAAGCATCTGCAAGAAAACCCAAACTGCCTGGCAATTGCATGCTTTCCTAGGGTGGTATCTGCTAGCATTCTGAGGTTTCCACTGCAGAAGTAGAAATCAGACGCTGCTTGGGAGTGCCTATTGTCGGGACACAATTTCATGTTTTAGGCAACATTCTTCAGGCTTAGCATGGGTTAGGAAGGAATGAATTATGTGAGGAATGTGGTGGTAGTCTGGTGGTTACATGTTCATATTATTCTGCTCTGCTATATGTATCATGAGGAAACTACACAAAACAAGTCAGGAAACGATCTCATAGACTCTCTTAGCGATATTAATAACCGCAAAGGTGGAAGGAAAGCACAGAAACTGTAAAAATACCGAGGACACAAGGGTAGCTGGGCTGCCTTTATCAGCCATTTCCCTGTTGGCTAAGAAATGGTATTCTTTTGTCCGGTTTAGACTTGTCTGTCCTTTAAGATGGATGCTTTTAAAAAGTTGACACAGAGCATGATTAGAGAGAGAGACAAATCCGTTTTTAAAATGAAGAATCATCCTCTACAGAAGATTAGCCAGGATGCGTGGAGGGAAAGGAAATCCCCGAGTGTGGTGAGAGTGCTAACGAAGAGGGTAGTTTATGAAGAATTGCATTGCAGGTACGTGCTCAAAGTTTGCGTGGGTGCCTCCTCCACGAGGGATGCCCCGAGGCGGGAGGGGCGGGTGGAGGTTCCCCCCTTTTGCTGACGGGGGCACCTGAACACCAGCTAAAAAAGCTCCTGTAAAAGAACTACAGCCCCGCTAGGCTCACCTCAATGGCAGGCAAGGCTCGTGCCCACGGTTTGAAAAGAAAATGGGATCTCAGGGCACAGAAGCAACCGAGAAAAGGAGAAAAATGCGATACAGGTTTGCCCACGCTAGACGGCGCAAGGCTTAGTTGGTACGAATTACGAATTGCTCATCCCTCTGCCGCCGAAGGCCAGGCGATACGAGCAGCTTCTCCTGGATGGAGAGGGGAGATGCCGATTTGGGAAGCCTGGCCCTGCCCGCCAAAATCACCTCAGCGCCGGGCGGGGCGGGGCGCGGCGCTGCCCTCGGGGGGACTCAGCGGCACCCGCGCCCCAGAAGGAACCGGCAGGCTGGCGGCTCGGGGGAGCCCCGGGCACCTCTGCCGGCAGGGACATAGAAATC